AAAGAATATAAAAACAATTTAAAAAAAAAAAAGGATCTTCAGCATTTGAAAGGTTTTCTTTTTTTATATTTTAATTGTTGAAGGCATATTTCTAAGGTGTATTATTGAAATGTCCATGGTGGCCATAAATATATAAACAAAAATTCAATTTATCAATCATATTTTAGTAAACAGGCTTTTACAGAATAGAATTGCAAACCCCTCCCTACTATTTGCTATTTTAACCTATAGATGAGAGGAAGAGTGAATTCCACTCCTGCTTTTGATTTCAGATTTGTCCTTTTCCTAGACTCGTACACCAATCTACCCTGCTATTCATTACTAGATGAAGAAAAGGTAGATTCATACTTTTTTCAAGGGTATTAGCATGAAATAAACATTAACTGTCCCAGCCAGAATTTGAATTTAGCTCATTGACTATTTTTTTTGTGCTGTTAACCATTATGCCACCAGCACATAATATAACTTGCTAAAAAATAACTATAACAATACTAAAATTGAAGAATAATCTAAAATTGACAGAACAACAGAAACTGAACAAATGCAGTAATATAAAATATTTTTGTTGCTATTTTTAACTGGGTTTATGATATGGTTTTAATCTTTATTGATATTTATGAAAAAGAAAAAGAAACAAAAAATTAGAAATCACTTACTGGTTTGTAGGATCTCATCGTAAATAAATTTGCCATCAAAGTGGAAAAGCCAGGTGCCAAACAGCTCTGGGCAATGAAGCCTAACTTCAATTCTGCAATGCAAACAGCATCATCTCCACGTTTCCAATCCCAGCTAGGAATGTTCAGTAAATATGCCTAAAAAAAAAAAAAAAAAATAATTTAACAGAATGTTACCACTAGGAAACAAAGATAAATTCTAAAAGTGACAACAATTAAGACTATTCATTATCTCATGCTTCTGCTTTTTCTATCACTCTTTGCCTGTATCCCCTCACTCTCTCCCTTATCCTTTTCAATCTTTGTTGTTTGCCCAAGAATGTTTTTAGCTGAACATTAGAAAAATGTAGTAGATTAAAATCATATGCAAAAAAAGAATAAGGAATGCAAAAATATTTTCTACTGCATCTTTTATCTTTCTTTCGTTCAATCTTTCTATGAAGAATTTTAATGTATTATAATTTTATTTTTGAAAATGATAGCAAAATTTGTAAACACCAATGTAGCAAGATCAGGGAAAAGTTTCTCTGATGTATTTTTGTTGAAACCCCAATTTGTTTAGATGGTTTGAAACAAATAGGTTAAATGTTTGAAGATTCTCAAAATCATACTATTATTCTGTTTGCTTGTATGTATTACCATTATGCATTTCAGCTGATGATCAAAGTGTTGTATCTGCCCAATCACCATCAGGTGATCCGAATTGAAATCATATTTTCTGACCAAAAAAACAAATTATATAGTAATATTAAGTAGGAAGAAATTAGGAAAAGTGAGAGAGGAGGAGGAAGAAGAAAGGTAGGAGATAAAAAGCCAGAGAAAAATTAAAAGAAAAGCAGGTGTATATAGACTGGGGAGAGGGATGAACATGAAAGGTATAGGCTTGATGGCTGAATATCAAGAGACAATGAGAAAGATAACTGAAGGGCATTAGGATTGGAAAAGTATTAAAATTATAATACATTAAAATTCTTCATAGAAAGATTGGACAAAATATTTTTGCATTTTTTAAAGAAAGAAAAAAAGATAAACAAAATTAGCATTATTACTACAAAGAAATTTTGACCCATAATATGGTTTTCGTAAACAAACCAGATGATGGCAGATGGTATTCAAAGAAGAAAAATACAATGTCTGTACCCCGACAGTTATTGCCTGAATTTTGATCTAAAATTTTTAATCTAAGAATCTATGACTAATGCAGAAGCCTTTCACGAAGGCTATCTGTTATATACTGTACCTATGGACACTAATGGGTATGTTCAAATCCTCATAAATACATTGGACACTATTGTAAGTTGGGGTAATATGCTGTTTAAGTAGTCCACTACAAGCAGTGGTTTACCTACTTCACGCTGCTGGTGAGTATTGTATTTTCTTGATGTTATATTTCTTATATATTCATTTCCAACCTCCATTTTGATTATTCCTAATTCAGTAACCTTTTCTAGGTCACAACAATATCCTATGTGGAAAAATAAATAGATGCTTTTTTCATCATTAAGTGGACTTTTTCTGACTGACATATATAGAAGGACAAAAGAAATCTACAAAATATTGTGGCACACACTTATAAACTATTATATAAGAATCATTCAAATAAAATAAAAGATGTCCTACTCCAAGAATTGGCCAATAAAAATTATACAGACTAAATAAAAATAGTTTCAAACCTTATTGTGATACTGCAATAATTGAACAATAACTTTAATCTCTGAATGGTAATTCTTGATTGAGATTACTCTCATGATGTTTGCAGCATCCTCTTGGTCAGGATCATCACAGTACTTATTTGCAAGCACCAAACATGCATCTGCTTGTTGAATCTGAAAAAAGAAGAAAAAGTGACACAGAAATAAAGCATTTACCAACTTCAATGTAATTAAGAAAAATTATAGAGTTTCATCTCAGCTCAAACATCCACTCATTACACACAAAACTTAATTCATCTTTTCTTTTACATGAATAGATTTCAGCTAATCTATCATACCCTCTAAAGTTATAAATACAGTTTCTATTATGTAAGTAATACACTGATATCTTAATATTTGCTAACAAATTGTATTTATATATCATATATATTGATTTAGAAATGATTTCATTTATATTATTTCTTTTACTCTTTTGCATTGTAACATCTTGATTCAATTTTCAAGCAACCCTCAGACATGTGTGACTTTTCTGTTTGTTTCTCTCTTGTAACAAGACATTCACCTGTTATTGGCTAACTATAACCAAACTGGTCTCACTACTCAGTAATGAGAAAATGTTTTTATGGAAGTGCCAGATATAGTTGTCACCACTTGAAATGAGCAAGTATCATGTTACTACAATGGAATTTAACAAAGTAAAAAAAAAACAATTTTAAATTCTTTTCACATGGTATGTTTAGTGCTGCTCTAAAGTAATGTATCTAGTCTAATTTCTCATGCATACTTAAAACACTTGTGAGGGAACATATCAATAGATCATTATAAAAGGTAATGGATGTTGATGATGTATCAACAGAATATGCCAGAGACTAAATTTAAATTCTATGATTACAAAGCATAAAAAATTAAGGCTACAATGAGAAGAGATAAATTATTAAAAGCTCTTATTTTATATTAGAATTACTTTGTAAGCAAGAAAAATATCAACAAAATAATCAGAAATATTACTTTTTATTTATCTAAAAGTCTTTCAGATCTAATATTTTATTTAAAAAATCTAAAAGATTTTAAATAAATCTATTGTGAATAATTGCCTAAAATAACTGTTGCAATAATCCTTGAGTGTACTTAGGATGCATAAAAACAAATGATACATTTGTGCTTCAATTGAATTTTGAAAATGCTATCAATATTTTCTATTTTACATAGAATTTATTAATGATTTAAACGAATAACCTGTCACTCTCATGAGTAACTACACTATAGGTAGTAACTACCTATAAGTATCCTTAAGTCAACAGACTATGGAGATTTGCTGGGATCTGTTGAGTATGACTCAGACTTACACAAGAACTACTGACCTTCCAATAGCAGCACACACTACTGGATTGACTTGTGACGATTGTGTGCATAACTGTATCTTATTTCTTATTGTACTGGTTATTATAATAAACCTTTACTTATTTATCCACTGTGTTTGTCAAGTATATATTCCTATTAGCACGGAATATAACAATTAATTATGTCAAATTGAAAGAAACTTGCTCTTAGAGTCGGATATTTATTTGGATACTCAAAAACAAGCAGGCAAAAATATTTCTAGACAGCTAGTAGAACCATTACCCACATATGAGATAAATAGCAAATTGGGATGTTTAAAGGCTGAGCTTGGGATTTCTTCAGATCTTTTATATCCCAGTAGTGCACTGGTGTCTCTTATCTCTTGAATAGTGTTCTGGTGTCTCTTATCTATCTACAGCTTTTAACAACTGTCTATATTTCTGAGATGAGGTATTATGTACATTATTTACATTATTCGGACTATTGTCCTCATCTTTGTCTCCATATTTATGACAATGTTTCAGCCATTGTATGCTCCGGCCTTCTTCAGGTGGTTGGAATGTCGAACTGAACCCCTTATTTCGCTCACTGGGGTAGACTGTTCTAGTTCCATGTGCCATGCTTAATGGATGTCACTTATCAGTTATCTCCTTCTAATTTCCCTCTGAACGTTTTCCACTGCCTTAACCAGGTATTGAACTCACACTGCTGTCTGTTCTCTCTCTCTGACTTTTAGCAGACTACCTAGCTCATATTTATTTGGGAACTCAATCCATCAGATTGAACAATAATGATACAATTTAATTATTAATTGATGTTCTTAATGTTCTCCTTTGTTTCACAGTCACATAGACCATTCTTTATTTTGATAAAGTTTAGTTAACTGATTTCCTGACTTCCTATAAGACCACTGGTGAATAACAGCTTTATGTAAAACCATCCACATGCTCTATTTGCATTGGCCTCCTTATCCAAATATTCTGCTCAAGTTCATCAATCTGATGGATCAGTCTTTAAGCAAACAACTTAAGCTGAAGGTCATTTTTAGAGATCATTTTTTATTTTAGCAGAGGAAGTAATATATTATGTTCACTTTTCATCTGACTTAGCAAATGTAATAAACTAGTATTGGATCATATCCACTAATACTAAGTTACCATCTAATTTCTTGAAAAAAAGATTTTTTCATTACTTCTTTTTCCAAATGTAATTCCAATAATAATTAAATGCAACCAAGCATTCTCTCCCATTTTACCACAGTTCTAGACCAAACAACTGGTCTTTTCTCCATTTCACTCTGTTCACAGACCACTGTCAAATCTTCTTGGGGTTCGATTCACCCTATATATGTCAACACACATAAATTACTGTAAATATTTCTATGAACAGGCTAATATTCACAAAGTATATTTATTATATAAATATATCCTGAAAGTTTTCTCTTTAATTTATCTTATTTTATTATAAAAACAGTGACTTCATAAAAAGTAACAGTGTGTTTCAGATTAGGAGATACTTAATTTTTCCTAAACTTTAGAAAACTGATAAATGTATTCATGGAAATATTTACATGATTTATATACAGGTTATTTCACTTAATATTGTTAAATTATAGCAGAATGCATATCATTCTTAGGATATAGTAAAAATTATATCAATTTTATTGGATTTTCAAAGTTTCACATTATTATCCAGGTTAGTGAAACTCCAAGAAATATTTTTTAATTAAAAATTATATTCACGGAATGTGTGCAATGTTTACAAAGATAATTATTTTAAACAAAATATTGAAAACATGGTGATTGTTATGATGACAGGATTGTAAAGACAAAATTAATGTGAAATGCATATTCTGAAATTATTCTGAAATTAGTTTTTTAGAAATCATTCAGTGATTGATTTTCTAAGTTCAACTTTTCTTGTAAATAGTTGTCTTCAGAATACTGTACAAGTTTAAATCCAGTTAATGTCAGTCAAGCAAGACAGCCACTTCATCAAATATATTCAAATATTCATTAGTTTTCTTTGCCAAATGTGATAGAGAATTGTCATGCATAAAATTATCTTCTTTCTGAAAGTGTTTAGCTTCTTCTTGGACCATGACTCCACATGTACCTTCATAAAGAAATTATGCCTAAGCTGTCATCTTAATACTGTCTGAATTTAGCATTAACTCACCACATTACTACCTAAAATCCTACTCCAAAACATAATACCACTCCTGCTTTGTTAACACCTCAACATGTAAAGACAGTTTCTTCCAGTAAACACCAAGCTTTTGCTTTATGTGTCTGCTCTATCAATTGTAGAACAGCATTTGTTGGTGAAAAGAAAAGGTGAAAAATTGAACTCGATTTATTCTGTTCACCATTTCATTTGCTTTTCCTATATATATATATATATATATATATATATATATATATATAGAGAGAGAGAGAGAGAGAGATAGAGAGAGAGAGAATTGAATAGTTTGGCCTCTTTGAAGTAAAAAAGAGAGCAACTTTTCACCTATATCAGCCATTGTATAGATTGTCTCTGGTCATTATGCATTATAAAAATGTATGACAGAAAATCTATTTTTCATCACATATAATGGAATGAAAATAGGTCAATTTCATACTATTGAACATATATTCTTTATATATCATAATGTATACAGTCCTCTATTCTTTAATGACTTCAGAGGAACGCATTTACCAATTATTTTGACAATAAGCTTTAAATGATTTGAAATGGTTCAAATAAACATAATGAAGTTTGTTGTGAGTTTTCTTGCTGAGGTTTTGAAATAACTTTTTCATCTCAAGGCTCAAAATTTTTATCATTGATTAAAACTTTGAGTGGACTTTTTTGTGTTTATTTTTCAAACTGACGTTCCTACTTGTAAATTTGTAAAACCAAAATCTTATTAATGACATCATTGTACCCCAAATATAGGATTCATATTCCTCAGTTTCAGCTTGAACTGAAACAATTAAAAACATAAAAGAGTTGAAAGGCTTTCCATATTTAATTAAGAATGTTATCAAAATTAATACTGTGAAATCAATACATATCAATGAAAAGTACATTATTATTTATGAAAAAAAGGCGTCAAGCTTAAAAAAATTGATAATTTCATATTGGACCACTTAATACAAAACAAAATGTGATTTATAAAAGGTTTACACTCAAGTGAATAGTCATATATACAGAGTACTTTTCAATTATAATCATCATTAATAACATAGATAGGATTGATCAAACTGTTTTCAAAATGTTTATTTTATAGGGAATAATGTTTATTTTATAGGAAAAAACTAATACAGAATTACAAATAATACTAAGTTGATTGATCTGAATATTCTGAACTGTTTTACAAAATTCCTTATATTTCCAGAAAAGGATATAATTTTTTTATTTAGGAAACAAATTTTATTTATTAAAATCAAAAGAAATGAAAGTATGATAATAATATCTTAATATAACAAAATCAAACCTGATTATCCCACTCAATGAAAAAGAATCATTAAACATTCTTGAAAATCTGATTCTGAATGTCTAAAATAAACATTTCTTATTGATATACTTACATAGCATTGCTTTTTCAGTCTACTGAACAATTGGTCAACAATAACAACATAATTCAAAAATAAAGAACTAACTATATATGTGGGTGTACTGAAAGTTCTCAAATTGACATACTTCCCTAAATTAGTATTCTGTTGATTTTGGGAAGTCGAATGAACTGAGAATTTTTCAATACTTTATCATATAACTGTGCTAGCAACAATCTTCTGTGCCATGTCCCTTCAGGATGTTAGCCATCATGTCTCTCCACAGTTTCCTGTCCT